CTTGGGAGACCGTGAGAACAGAGAACGCGTCCTGTGAGAAATGAGATGTTGTGTTCTTCCTGATGGTCACATGACCTTCACGCATTTTTAACAGAAAATTATTTAAACATTACAGCCTTAATACAAGTTATTGTTTTTCCAATGTTCAATATTAATAAAATGCACAAAAACCTTACAAATATACGTTGCACAATACAAATAAAACAGATTTTAAAATGAATTTTAGCAAATAAACACCCTTAATAAGTTCCCGCCTTTATTAAGATTTTCATGTTAATGTTTACTTTTAGGGAAACTCCTGAGATAAATAAGTTTTATCTCTGAACTTTAATAATTAACAGGTATAGAATGCTGCGCTTCCCACCTACTTTATTCAGTTAAAATGACTTCTGGGACTTCTCAAGTGCGTTTTGTGCTCAAGTCTGCATCAAAGGATTCTCGATATCAAGAGCTCATCCGGGAACGTTCACGCGTCCTCTGTTCCTGCGGTCTTGAGTTTTGGAACTGAACTTTGACAGTTAATGATGACGTTACATGAGAACATAAGAATGCTGAAGAACGCATACTGAGAAACAGCCCTACACAGGGCTAATCCACACATCAGTGAATCAGTAGCAAGAATAAATGATGGCAAAATATGCGCATACTCAGTGAGTGTGAATGGTCTCTTATTTTAGACTGTATAGTGTGAATGAAGATTGTTCTTCTGAAACGCAGTAACAATATCAATATGGACAAAGATCATTTTAATGTAAACACCATTTTAAAATGAAAACAACCTGGGGTGCGTTTCCCATACAACTATCATAGTACGATGCATCATTTGGGAAAAGAACGATGTAGTGACGAGTGTTTGCCATAACTGTAGTTTCTCTGTGGCAGATTCTTCTTTTGAACCACGTTAACATAACGTAAAACATCCATAATGACACTCTAAATGGGGTGGCAATAACTTCTTTAGAGAAGAACCCCATAATTTTTTGTGCAAATTATATTGTTTTACATTTACACGCATAAAAAAAAAATCCAATATTAGTTTTGGTAAAAGCATGCACTTGTTTTCCAAATTATTTGAAATATATGTAAACGGCACATATAGGGCCAACGTTTCCTTTACAAATATTATTGAGAATATTCCATATTTATTCTAAAACAAACAAAAAAAAAACACTAAGCTAACACATATTTTAATGTCATATATAAATCATATAAATCATGAATGGTTGTAATTTACAGTAGTCTATTCATTAAGAAATAAAGGAAAATCCTACTTAATAATAATTATAACTAAAAAATTTTATTATTATTATTATTAAGTAGGATCTTGTTTATTTATTTTATTTTATTAATTGTAAAAGTCTACATTTACAACTTGAAATTCAAAACACTGCACAAATGTTCTAAACAACAGGCCATGTCTGTAAAGTAGAGATACATTTCATAATAAATAACCTACTATAAATTAAAACATTAACGTAAGCTATACATTTTTTGTTTTCACAAGCTTTGGAGACGTAACATAAATTCTGCTTTTAAATAATAGGCCACCTATAGCTTTCATAATGAGCCACGGCTGCATTTAAAATGGCATAAATGTTTTCAAAGTGCACTACGAAGGGAGCACAATTGTCATTAAATCTGACAAATCACTAAAACTGAACAGTAAAAAATACTTTGAAAGCAAATTACACCAAAGAGACATGACTTTAATGCTTTTTTCTTTAATCATTCTAAGATTAAATGTTGGAAGGTTTGAAAGAAATAGGGCATAGGTGGGGAAAGCTGCTCTAGAGGTGTAGTTCCAGGCGTAAAAGTTTGTGACGCAGTTTGCGATTGTTCGTTGGAACGATGAATTTGGGAGACGCCAAATCAATGAACTATGTTTGTAATGACAGAACTTGTGACCTTAGTTGGCTAATGATGGTTTTTGGAAATGCACCCCTAGATGAGGATGAATCTTTGTAGTGTCGCTAATAAATGAAATAAGGTGCTAAAAATCTAATTATTTTTTCAAATATTTCCCAAGTGATGTTTAACGAAGCAAGGACATTTTCATTCGGTATTTCCTATGATATTTTTTCTTCTGGAGAAAGTCTTACCTCTTGTAGTTTGGGTGGAATAAAAGCAGTCTTTCAAATTTTTTAAAAGATCAATATTATTAGCCCCCTTAGGAGTTGTTTCTCAATTGGTTACAAACCTCTGTTGTGATTTGCGGATGACTTGCCGAATTAACCTAAATCACCTATTTAGTCTCATAGCAACACCTTTAAATTGCAATTTCAGCTAGTATCTTTCAAAATAATTAGTAAAATATGACAAAAACAACAAAAAAATGGTTATCAGAAATTGGTCATTAACGCTATTATGTTTAAAAATGTGAATTTGTCAATATTTTTAAAGATTTTATATTTCTCAGGAGGGCTAATACTTTTGTCACACATTTTCAACTGTGCACATTTTAAAAAATATATCTTATACAGAAAATCATACAGAACTACATTTTTAATAAAACACAGTCCACACCTGCCTTTTCAAACTGCACAATGGTAGTAGTAAGCTTCATTTCACAGCAGCATATAAGCAGTAGAAGATGCGGAGAGCAGTATCTGTGCATATGTTCGGAAGTGACTGCGCATCTGATAACCCTCTGAACCCAACCTCTCTCCTCCGTCCAACTCAAATGTCACCAACAATTTGATGAAGCAGCCCAGAGAAAGGGCAGCATGCCAGGGTTTTCTTTTTTCCGCTTCTGCTCTGTTCTGATAATCCTGCACTTCACTAAACTAGGAGCCTTTGTTCAGTACAGCCAAACTCAACTCGATATTAAAGTCTAGATAGGACACGTTAATAAAATACAATAAATTGGGAAATTTAATAAATAATATAAATAATTCTTGTTAACTTCCGGCTGCAACGGTCTCTGATCTAGCAACAACCATCTCGAAACACTTCTGAAATGCCCGATGCTTTGAATCGCTTTAGTCACATTACATGGGTGCTTTAAATTATTTTAATCACGTGATCTGAGGTTTTGGATAAAACTTCGGAGCAGTTTCGAAACACTTGCGCTTCAGGATCTCGACACTGTTAAGAATTGCAGCCGAATGTTATATTGGCTTGCAGAGAATCGTTACTTGCTCATACAACAAGCCAGGGGAATGACAACACAAGAAACAACTTTTTTTTTACCCGAGGGTTATACTAAAAAAGTACCAGGTACTAGGTAAAGAATGCAGTGGAAAAGCCCGGAAAATTGAGCTGTACCGAACCAAACCACACCGTATTATGGGGTGGAAAATCCTCTTTACATAGTATGACTGCTTACTACCAAAGACTATAGAATACACTATAGACCTTTTTCTTGGAACGCAAAATTACCCATTATGCTTTGCGTGTATGCGCAAGGAGAATGCGAAAAACTTCCGGTAGCTGATGCGTGTAAACAGTCACATTTGGACAGCTTAGAAACGATAGTTTTAATCTATTTTACCTGCTTTTATCCTCTTTGAACTAATACTGTTGTCCATCAGCACCATCTCCTGGACTGATCATTTAAAGAAATGCCATCTAATAGGATGGAAAACAGCTGCTGAGAGGCATTTCCCCCTCGTTGTCAGACGGCATCTTCTGCAGTTTAAATGAAGCCTTGTCATCGCTAAAGTCAACATTTTCTCTTTATTTCAATTATATAACCAGCCCAAACAAATGTAATTCACCAAAATGTTTGACACACAAAAGTAGCCTGTATTGTGCCACTGACACACTGATTTGATAACTGTGACAAAGTGAAAATATAGGCTAGTGTCATTTCGAAATGAAACACAAATCGTGGTAAAAACAACACACGAATTAAAACACAAACGCCTCGCGATTAGAATGAACAGCAAATCAGCGAGCAGAGTATCAATAACAGACTTTTATTGGTCATTTTTGTAAATTGCACAACTTTCATACCTGTTAAGTTTCATGCCAGTACTCTGGTTTGCTCTCTCTCTCTCTGTGTGTGTGTGTGCCGCTGAGCTAACAGCTGACAGGCCGGGAACGCACAAACACACAGTATTTCTGTCGGCAGACACGTGAACTAGGAGAACGTTTTTCTCGTATTTCTGACGTGCTTGAACCACATGTGACAGATTATAACGGCTTTAACATACAGATTTCTAAGTTGTGTGTCACAAAAACACTCTGTTATCCATTAAAAACGTTATTGAAACCCATTTTCGGAGCGCGAATTACCAGTTGTACACACTGTAAACGGAAGTTTTTAGCATTCTACCGGAAGACGCTGGTCGCTATGGCGCCCTCCATGCAGCAGCCATGAAAAAGGTCTATAGAACACATGGTTTGTTTAATTGTTAACAGGACAAGACGTGAGTTTCTGCAGATATTAGCCCCGTTCACAAAGACAGACCTTTCTGGAAAATTACTGGCAATAGTTCTGGCAAATGTTCACGTCTAGAATGCGCTGACATAAGACGTCTACTTGAGCCAATCCGAAAACACAGACGCATTCACGTGCGCACGGTTTATGAAAATAAAAGCCAACAAATATTTTTCCAGACACATTTAGCTGCTAGATGTTAGACAGAGAACATTTCTGTTCCTTCTTAATGCCAACTGTAAAAAAAAGTAAAAAATAAATAAATAAAATTCGAAAAAAGTCGATAAAACGCTTATGCCGATGTTTGTTTACCTTCAAGCTCTGATGCGTGTGCACATAAAGCAGCCGTTCAGCGCCAACACACACACACATACATCTCAACATGCGAAAGTGTTCCTCTATATGTTTTCATTGAAGTTGTTCGCAATACTCATCCATTCACAGAGTTTGTAATGTTGTAAAATGCTTACAAATACAAAGCCAGCCGTTTAGAGGTCATTTCTGGTTATTGATGTAAAAATTTGGATGTGTAAATGGTCTTTTGTGGAAACATTCTGTAATGTCTGTGCCTGTGTGAACAGCGCTTTTTTGAATTCCGGAAATTTTCTGGATATTTACAGCCATTGCTGTGCGAAAAGGGCTTTTGTGTGATACAAACATTAAGAAATCAAACTAAAGAGACAGTTGTTGTTTAATTTTATTGGATATTCATAATATGAAATGTAATTGTAAGCTTGGCAGGTAGTTTTGGAGAATTCGATGTTTCCCCATTTAAACAAAATGCCCAAGTTTCAAAGATGGCTGCCGAGTGAAATGACTTGCCTGAAAGGGTCTTTCACACTACTGACTTCCACTTCCAGTTAATGATCACCTTCCTTAGTACTGGAAATCAATAACGGTGACCATCAGTTGTTCAAAAAAACAACATTTTTCAACAAAAGAAAAAAACACATAAATAATGTGGAATAAGTGGAGGATGAGTGAATGATTTTCATATTGGAAGTGAACTTCTGTTGTGTGGACAATCATAAAGATGGTGGACGCTGAAGAGCAAACAAGAGGGCCAAAAATGAAAGCGAACAGGCGTACGCCTCTTTGAAAGAAATTGGTGAGTCATTATCTTGTTTCAGATGCGGCGTGAGGCGAGGTAAATAGATGAGAAGGGATAAGGGGCCGCGCCGCTGACGACAGGGAGCCATCAGCGGGGGACGCAGCGGAAACAACGGCCCTCCAACAGCATCTGACAAACAAAATTGCAACTGGCAGGGAAAAAAAAACATTGAGTGCGCTTGATCAATGGCTCGGTCTATCATCAGCAGCCATTTGCGGCGTGACAGGATCGACAGTGTCTCTTTTGTCTTAAATGGCAGACACCTGCAGTGCTATGAGCTGGAGGGACGTACTAAATGTCAAACCTGGAGGATTAGGAGTGGGCATGGTTTCTGAGTGGAAACAATCTCAGATACCATATTCCAGCTCGTCCTTCTTACCTTCTGGATTTAATTCTAGCTAATTAACTTGGCGACAGATGGACTCACAGATTTTTCCAGGTGCATCAAAAATAGGATGTTATTTCTGCTGTAAGGAGGATTCATCTCAAAATGAGATGTCCAGGATATATTTCACCAAACAATCATAAGAAAAGCATGTTTTGCTTCAGGAAAGCAAGACAATAGAAAAATCATGATGATCTGCAACCAAATACTGAATTGACTTAATTCACAATAAATTTATACCATTTTAATATGTAATTGTTTCATTTTTAAGGCAAAGCAGTGGCGCAGTAGGTAGCGCTGTCGCCTCACAGCAAGAAGGTCGCTGGGTCGAGCCTCAGCTCTGTTGGCATTTCTGTGTGGAGTTTGCATGTTCTCCCTGCATTTGTGTGGGTTTCCTCCGGGTGCTCCGGTGTCCTCCACAGTCCAAAGACATGCGGTACAGGTGAATTGGGTAAGCTAAATTGTCCTTAGTGTATGAGTGTGTGTATATATGAGTGTGTGGTTGTTTCCCAGAGATGGGTTGCGGCTGAAAGGGCATCCACTGCGTAAAAACTTGCTGGGTAAGTTGGCAGTTCATTTCGCTGTGGCGACCCCAGATTAATAAAGGGACTAAGCCGACAGGAAAATGAATGAATGAATGTTTCATTTTTCCCCATATTTTTTTCTGAACAGGATTTTAATTAAATAAAAAATAAAAATAGTACTTGAATAATTTTTTTATTGCCAGATAGGCTGGTCTGAGTATTTCAGAAACTGCTAGACTAGTTGGAGCTGATAAAAAGGCAACAGTAACTCAAATAACCACTCGTTACAACCAAGGTATGCCGAACAGCATCTCTGAACACACAACACATCCAACTTTGAGGCGGATGGGTTACAGCAGCAGAAGACCACACCGGGTGCCACTCTTGTCAGCTAAGAACAGGAAACTGAAGCTACAGTTCGCACAGGCTCACCAAAATTGAACGACAGAAGATTGGAAAAAAAGCCTAGTCTGATGAGTCTCGATTTCTGCTGCGACATTCAGATGGTAGGGTCAGAATTTGGCATTATCAACATGAAAGCCTGGATCCATCCTGCCTTTTATCAATGATTCAAGCTACTGGTGGTGTTGTAATGGTGTGGGGGATATTTTCTTGGGACACATTGGGCCCATTAGTACCAATTAAGCATCATCTCAAAGCCACAGGCGCCCTATGTGTTGTTGCTTACCATGTTCATCCCTTTATGACCACAGTGTACCCATCTTCTAATGGCTACTTACAGCAAGATAACGCGCCTTGTCATAAAGCAAGAATCATCTCAGACTGGTTTCTTGAACATGACAATGAGTTGACTGTACTCAAATGGCCTCCACAGTCACCAGAGCTCAATCCAATAGAGCACGTTTGGAATGTGGTGGAACAGGAGATTTGCATCATGGATGTGCAGCCGACAAATCTGCAGCAACTGCGTAATGCTATCATGTCAATATAGATCAAAATCTCTGAGGAATATTTCCTGTACCTTGTTGAATCTGCCACGACGGATGAAGGCAAAAGTGGGTCCAAACCGATACTAGTAAAGTGTACCTAAAAAAGTGGCCTGCGAGTGTATGTTGAACTTATGCACCAAGCCACAGGTTGTAAAAACTACTAAAAAGCTGATTTCATAACAGCAATAGAAAAACAGTCTTACCCGGCCAAAAATGGGAACTAAATGATGTTCACACATGGAAAACATGTCGATGTCCTTCACAATCACCATCTCATCGTGGTCTTCATCAAAGATTGCATCATTCAGGACATCTGCAAGGAGGAACAAGAGTGTCAGGTGAGCGATACAACACCTGATGACATCATGAAATCATTTCATCCCATACACTCTTCCTGTTGTGGCCCCGTGTCCTTTTGCTTAGCTCATATCACTGTTCAAACATATCCTGTTTTATCTGGCAGGAATGCGCTGCCTTTTTTATGTGGGGCTTTTTAATTTCCTGCCCGTCTATCTCTGTTAGGTTTCCTTGGCAACATTGCAAACTGGTGATGTAGTAGCTTCAGGGTCTTGTTGATGCCTATATGTGTTGCTGCTCATTGTGGATTCAAGAAAGCACAAAGCATTTTTAACCTGTTTTTTTGTCTACTATTATTTCAGCAATATGTGCATCTGGCCAGATTTGACAAGGATATGTAACTATATTAAAAACAGTCCAAAGATTTGCAAATTCGTACATAGAAATTCAAACATATTAATTTGTCTGGAAATATGTCCCCTGTGCCAATTTTTGGTTGTAAAACAGGTATTTTATATGGTAGTTTTTTGGTATTAACAACCATTTTCAGTGATCTGGGGTCTGATTTATAAAATATATGTAGAAACCTTCCTACAAAGTGAGTGTACACCACAATTTATTTATTTTTTTTATGTATTAAATTAATAATTTATTAAATGTATTATTTATTATCAATGATTATGGCTCATATGAGGATTTAGAGTTTAGTAAGGTCAATATTTAAGTTAAATATGTTTACTTACAGCTACGCACATTCTCCCATCAAGTTTCTTACATTTATATAGTGCTTTTTCTGGACACTCAAAGCTCTTTTACACATTTTTGGGGGGAATCTCCTCATCCACCACCAGTGTGCAGCATCCACCTGGATCATGCAAAGCCCTACATCTCATCCGAAAAGACCCACACAGACCGCAGGTCTCACTAACACCACTTCCGGCAGCAACCTAGCTTTCCCCCATGTGGTCTCCCATCCAGGTACTGACTGGGCACAGCCCTGCTTAGCTTCAGTGGGTGACCATGTGAGAGTTGCAGAGAGCTAGCTGTTGGCGAGTTTTATTAGGCTAGTTTTATTGCAAAAATCTGGCAACCCTGACAAGAAGCTCTAAGAAAGCCAGAAGTTTGGAGAGACCATATTATTGAACAAACCATTTCAAAAACTGTAAGGAAAAAAGTATTTTATAACCATAACTAGATGTAAACTACTGTATGAGACACAATTATTAACTTGTAAAATGTCATAATTGGGTACTAAAGGCAAAAATGTAAATTTACTCACTATGTCCTCACCCTGGAGTGATTGCACACCTTTAAGAGTTTATTTATAAACTAAATTCGAGAAGATCACGTGATTATGATTGAACACGGCTGAATCTGCATTAACTATGTCTGATCCACCAATCAGACGATTCTTAACCCACTATAAAGAGCCAGGGTTTCTCACTTCAGTCATCTTCGATTTGAAGAATCCCCTCTTCCACCCCTACTCCTCCACCTTTCTCTTTATAGGGCGGCATGGTGGCCCAGTGATTTACACTGTTGCCTCACAGCAAGAACGTCACCGGTTCTAGTCCTTTAACAGGCCGGCTGTCTTTACTGTGCGAAGTTAGCATGTTCTTTGCATGCTCGCGTGGGTTTCCCCCAGTTTCTCAGGTTTCCTCCCACATTCCAAAAACATGCACTAGGTAATGAACAATCTAAATTTAGCACTATCCGCTTGTTAAGTGGTGACGTGTTGGTGACGTATGTAATACTGTTTCCGGGTCCAAGCCGCCACTCATTTGAGTTTATGATCACTTTTTATTCATATCACACATTAAAGTTAATTTTATATAAAGTCAAAGTGTACACAACAATCCCTGGGCTTGCTGCATCGTAAATACCAACATTTTAACAATTTATAAAAAATGTATCACTTTCTGGCCATTGGATATTAGGCATGGACATATATATATTGTGATCGTGATTTTTGAAAGTATTAAATCGCTTTGTAAGCGTTTATTATTACCATTTCATGAGTCTCCCAATTCAGTTGAATTGAGCGCTTGGACCCAGAAGCCGCTTCGCGTGATGTCACACTTAACAAGCGGATAGTCATCCTCTCAACTCTCATCCAGCAGCATAATTCTTCATAGCAGTCATTTTCTGTCATCAGCTCTTATTAAAAAGGGGGAGTTCTCAAGATCTACCTGAGCTCAAACGCCCCTCTCGCCCTGCAAACAGGAGGGAGCCCAGGGCTCAAGGACCTTTTAAGCTCAGGGCTCTCTTCCGGGACAGCATGTCAAACTTGCTTATAGTCAATCATCAGCTAAGTGTGAACCCTTGAAAAGAGTTTTTTTATTCCTTTGAACACTGTATTTTGAAAAAACTGAAACCTGTAACCATTGACTTGCATAGTAGGAAAAACAAATACTACAGAGGTCAGTGGATACAGGTTATCAGCATTTTTCAAAATATCTTCTTTTGTGTTCACCAGGAGACTCTAAAATGTTTAGAACAAGTAAAGAGTGGGTAAACGATGACAGAATGTCCATTCTTGGGTGAACTATCCCTTTAAAAGGGTTTGAGAAATGATTATGAGCAATAGTAATAACCACTGACACACTGATAATATCCCCTCATAAAATTGGTTTGAAAGGGAAGTTTTTCTGCTGTTGTCACATGTTTCCCAGAAACACTTTTGTTAATATTTAAACAGATTCTGTTCATTTCACTGTGACTAACATGGCATGGTCTTCAGTATATATATATATATATATATATATATATATATATATATATATATATATATATATATATATATATATATATATATATATATGCGCTCAGTGTTGTGTAAATGCTGTGCCTGATCTGAGCATCAAACCACCTCTGTTGAATTTAACCTGAGGGCAGCAGCTGTTACGAGAGAACTGTCATCAGGTTCGTCCTAAACAAACAGCAGCTTTCAAACGCACAAGCACACAGAAAGGTCTCACGTATGATGGCGGCAATGACATAAAAAAAAAGAGAGAGCAGGAAATCAAATCAGCATCTCCCCGAAGTCATCTCTCAGCCTCGACATCACCGTCACACACACGCAGACTCAATTAAACACAAACTTGCTTACACACCAAGCAAACGTACACTTGAAATACAATAAGTAACCATAGAAACCCACTTAAATTGTGAAGATGTCGACGTGCAGAGCTCTGGATAGGGGTAATGTTATACTGCTACTGAGGGCTTGGCTTGTTCTCCATCTTTAAATAACAGACAGGCATCCTTCCAGCCAGTGGGGGCAGGGGACAACACAACGCAATGTCTGATCCAGAAAACTGAACAGTGTAAAATACACTGTAATATAATTTTGCAACATCACCGGCCTCTATGTTTATCTTTAATGGTTCTATGGGAGATAAGTACACCATAAACGGCAAGGAAACATAATGATGTAAGGCATTATAATAATTATATAATAATAACAATCAAGAAAGTCAAGTCAAGAAAGTAGCACAAGTTCAGTAGATGAATAAATTATGGTTAAACTGTTCATTTAGACCAGTACACAAAAGGATCAGTGACAATTTTCCTTTTTATTTCATTATTAATACACCACTGGCCACTTTATTAGGTACACCTTCCTAGTACCGCGCTGAACCCCTTTTTGTCTTCAGAATTGCCTTTATCCTTCGTGGCATACATTTAGGAAGGACTGGAAATATTTTGCAGAGATTTCGGTCCATATTGACATGATAACATCACACAGTTGATCGATCATCTGGATATTTTCTCTTTTTTTGACCATTCTCTGTAAACCCTAGAGATGGTTGTGCGTGAAAACCTTAGTAGATCAGCAGTTTCTGAAATACTCAAACCAGCCCGTCTGGCACCAACAACCATGCCATGTTCAAAGTCACTTAAATCACCTTTCTTCAACCTTTCTGATGCTCGGTTTGAACTGCAGCAGATCGTTTTGACCATGTCTACATGCCTAAATGCATTTAAGTTGCTGCCATGTGATTGGCTGATTAGATATTTGTGTTAAACTAGCAGTTGGACGGGTGTACCTAATAAAGTGGCCGGTGATTATATATTGCACATTCTAATGTAACATTTTACTCAAGTTGTCTGTAAAGGCTGTTTGTAGAGTTTAAAATGTGAAACATATGTAACAAAGTCTTTAAAATTGAGATTTTCATATATTGTACAGGTCTACATTAGCTAAAACATGCTTATAGCCCAAAGATGACTATACTAGTTGTCTAATAAACTTGGAATTATATATAAAGCACAACAGTCAGGGTATTCATGTTTTTCATAGGAAAACTGAAAGCTGATGAACTGATAAGTTGTCTGTTGTCATTAATTCTTATTCTAAAACAATTATATTTAAAAAGTACAGAAAAGTGCACCAATCAAACAAAGCTTGCCAAAATATATCTTATTAGGGACACTAAATTAAAGGGGTAATTTACCCAAAAATAACACATTTACTCACTATTTTACTGACCCTCGAATGGTTATAAACCTTAATGAGTTTCTTTCTTGTGTTGAACACAAAAGAAGATATTAAAATGATGCTGCACACCTGTAACTATTGACTTCCAACAAATTATATGGTCAATGGTTACAGGTTTCCAGCTTTATTCAAAATATCTTCTTTCATGTTCAACAGAAGAAAGAAGTTAGAAACAAGAGAGAGTAAATCTCGACAGAATATTCAGTTTTGGGTGAATTATCCCTTTAAGCAAGTCAGTCTTCCTACACTTTAATATAGTTCACTTAATAATTAAATAATCACCTAACCTGATTTCACCATGTAGGACATATTCCCGGATTAACATAGATGTTGCTCCTGGAACAACATTCTAATCAGATACATTTACAGTTTATGTTGAGTTTAGGTTTATGCACTTCTACAGAGTGTTATCCAACTATTATTCCCCTCTGATTTTGGGAATAATTTACAGTTATGGTTAGGGGTAGGGAATGGGTATGGATTATATTTTCAAACAAAAATGATGTTCCAGGATCAACATAGATGTTAATGCAGGAGTGCATCGTACTTGTCAAAATCATGATGTGCTTAAATAACATGTGTACATTAGGGTTGGGTGGATAGACGATGCCCTCCTCCATCGCCGATGGCCGACAGACATTTCGACGCGGAATCAGAACCACGATCCTTAGCCCCACCCCCATCGCAGCAGCAACCCGCTTGCAAAAAAATATACACTTAGGCCCCGTTTACACTAAATGATCCTAGTTTTAAAATAGCATTTTAGAACGAAAAGATCCATGTCACCACTGGTGTTTCATCTAGCATTTCTGAAAAGCCCTCCGTGACCACACACACACACACTCTGCCATGCACTGCAGCATATGCGCACATATGAGCTCCAGACAGTCAGCGGCTGCCTTGAGCAAAAAATCCCAGAGAGCAGTGCATGAAGAACAGTTTATCAAGGATGTACCGCTGGATCGCATCTCACTATAGTTGTTAAACGTGATATTTAATTAATCTTATCTCTACCTAATGACTCTAAGGTCTTTTGAATCTATCACGTAACGTGTCACAGCATCAGTACACTGCTTCAGTCTTTCACGCTTGTACTTAGTAATTTTAGCGAAATCCTCAGATACAGTTGGTTTCTTCCTGTTGGTTGTGCACCATTATAACAACACAGATCACTCTGCCTATTCATGCCAGAGTCCCGCGGAAAAAGTGATTGACAGCTGGTAATTTCCGCGTAACTTATCTATATTTATTTGGTTATGGGTAAAACAAAGACCATACAGGTCAGGTTGTAAAAACATTAGGCTACAAATAATTAATTTACCGCCGGCAATGGCGACGATGCCATCATCCATCGCAATGTTTCACATTAGACATTGTACGATGAGAAATTGGTCAACATCGCCCAACCCTAGCCTACACAGTTACACCCAACAATTATTTCAATTGTTAATTATTTCAGTAGTTTTACATTTCTCAGTCATTTTTAATTAGTTGTGCATTGTTCATGAAGTTGTTATTCTTTACCGGATTTATTTCATTTTTAATAACCTTTTTTTTATGTCCAGTGTCTTACAGTACTTCTGTCTTGAATCAAAGTTGGGAATGTGATTTACCTTCTAGTTGCCTATTTTGGTTTATGGCTTTTAATGCTTAAATGAAGACATTTTTAAAAATCCCTGAAAACAAATGAATCTGTAAAATACAACTTTGACATCCCTAACCAAGTGAGATCTACTGTATGTGGACAGTCATCATTATACTGTAGCACCAATTTTGTACCAACAGCTTCCTTTTCCCAGTGCATTAAAACTCATGAGTCAACCAATGCCATATAAAAATGTGAAAACTCAGCACAAGCTCACACAACACCCCCAAAGTGGTCCCAAATTTTCAAATGTCTTTCTGTGGGATACAAAAAAAAAAAAAGACTTCAGAACAATGGAAGAAGCTGTAGGGGTGGTGCAACTCCAGCCAATCCCATTGAAGAAAGCCAAAGACCTTCCTCTAGAAAATTCTTATCAAGTGCACGCTTCACCATGACATTGCATGTTATACCATCTGTGAACTGTGGACCATGCAAGAGATGCACATGTACTAGTGTGAGGTCACTGAGGGCAGAATGTTTTAACAAGTAGTTTTTGGGACAGAAAAGCAACATTAATACATTCCATATGCATGCCCTTAAAATGCTATACAAATCAGGTCCAGATGCGCTGTTTGCTTTGTGGGGATGTTGTCGGTGGGCAGCACCCTGGCTCAACCACTTAGACAACAGTTTGAGAATGACCAGTGAACAAATAAAAGATAAAACCTCCGCTTTGGGGAGTACCTGTTGAGCCAGTTAATCACACTGATGGCACATGGAAGTGTATGAGGAAATACTTCTAAACCTGAAACGCATCACACTGCATTTGTAAAAGATGATCTGTGTGAAATAAAAGTCTCTTTATTTTAATTAGGTCAATGCAACTAAAATATTAACATGATTTAAGGGGAAAATGTAAATATTTTAAAACCATGTGAATTGACTTGATGTGTGTGTCTGTTTAAAACCATGTGATTTGATTAGTGTGTGTGCTTCTGTGTGTACACCAATCCCCCAAATGTAAAACAGAGCAAACTACCATGAGATTATATTGAACAAATGTGACATAATATTGTAAAATATGCTGAAAGATATATTCAAATATATAAACATATCAAGCTGCAAAAAAATGTCTTAAATCCACCTTAAAGTTGGTCAACATGACATAAAATGAACTCTGTCTTCCTATGTCATATAATAGTTTTGTGCAGGCTTTGTGAACATGCACAATAAATATACAAAAATTGACTATATATCCGGTTACACTTAAGTTGTTCGCTAACAATCTTTATGTCCAGTATGACGTTAACCATGATCAGATCCAGACCACTGAGTCAAGTTCAGCTCAGTCTAATTTGTAAATAAACCATCCATACATTTAACTCAATCAACTGATTCATTAATAAATGCAAATAAAATGACGAATTATTCACACATCCGCTTATGCTGGATGGCAGAATCATTTGCAAACAATCTAAACAATAATGGTAAATTTATGATTATCATGGTTGGCTACAATAATCATTTAAATGGGTTTTATTTGTTGTAAAGCCATGGTGATATAAGTACGTGATGGTTGTCATTCAATTAAAAAAAGGTGCACCAGAAAACACTTCAGAATGTCTCTTTATGTGTTTTATAATAGTTTGGATGAATATTACATAATAGGCTATAACTAGAATATGTCCAATAGGGTACATCTTTAATTTACCTTGGTATACTCCTGCATTTTTGCCTTATTGCCCTGCACTCTGTCTTGTTTTTGAGCAGAGGAATGGCCTTTTGAGTTTAATGCTTTTATTTGTAGCATATTTGTAGTTTGGAAATAAAGAATTAGTGACACTCTGATCACTGATTTATTGAGAGAAAAAAAAACTAACTAAATAAAACTTGACATGCATTACAATTCCTTTAAAATAAATAAATGCAAATAAGAAAATGAATTATTTACATCTCTGTTTATGTTGGATGGCAGTATCATGTGCAAATAATCTAAACAATAATGGTAAAATTATGATTACCATAGTTAGCTAGCTACAACAACCATTTATTTTTGGTTTTATTTGTTGTAAAGCCATGGTGATTTAAGTGAGGGTTGTCATTCAGCTAAAAAAGGAAGAGAGAAAAAAGAAGGGAAAAAAAGCACACTAGAACACACTTCCGAATGTCCCTTTTGTGTTTTATACCAGTTTGGATGAACATTACATAATAGGCTAGAATATGTCTATTAGGATACCCATTTACCTTGATTCACTCCTGCATTTTTTTGCCCCATTTGCCTTGCACTGTCTTGTTTTTGGACACAGAAATGGCCTTTTGGAATCAATGCTTTATTTGTAGCATATAGTGTGGGAAGAAAAAAAAATGTGATACCCTGACACTTTCTTAAGGAAAAAAAAAATCTTGATATGTATTGCTTTCAAAACGTAAAGTTGAAATCAAATTATTCGCCCTCCGGTGAATTTGCTTTTCTTATATATATATATATATATATATATATATATATATATATATATATATATATATATATATATATATATATATATATATATATTTCCCAAATGATGTTCTACAGAGCAAGAAATTTTTCACAGTATTTCCTATTTTTCGTCTGGAGAAAGTCTTTTTTTTATAAAAGAGAAAGTCTTATATTTTATAAAGTCTTATAATATATATATATATATATATATATATATATATATATATATATATATATATATATATATATATATTTATTTAAATTATTATATATATTTTTTTAAGGTCAATAGATAACCCAATATATCAATATATTATTTCAAAAAGGCATTTTTCCCCAAATGTCTACAGAACAATCCAAAGTTATTCTAATTACCCAAACTTGCCTAATTAACCCAGTTAAGCCTTTAAATTGCACTTTCAGCTGAATACTAGTGTCTTTAAAAATATTAAGTAAAATATTATGCACTGTTGTTAAAACTATCATGAAATATCTCCGTTAAACAAAAATTGGAGAGAAAAGAGGGGGCTAATAATTTGCCAACTGTAACTTCTATCGCGTGTTAAATAAACACTTCTGAACAGTTGTCACACAATCATACAACTCACCGATGATTTTCTCCTGGTATCCCTTGGTGAAGAACTGCATGGCTGTCGCGGCTCTCCAGGGAGTTTTGAGGAGCCCCTGGCGCTGCGGATCCTCCCCGAGACCCCGAAGAATAGTGGTGTAAGCCGCGGCGATGCTCGGCAGGCTCATCTCGTTGTCCTCCAGGCTCCGGGTGCGCTCTTCTCGCCAGCTCTCCATCACGCTGGAGGTCGGCACACTGCCCGGGTCCCCGGAGGCACTTCCAGCTTTCCATCCGGGCATCTTCACCCGGCCATCAAAGTGTCCGTTGATCGCTCCGTCAGTTTCTTTTTCGCTTTGATTCACCGGTTTCTGTTTGGAGCGCTCCATAATTGCCTAGACGTGTGCTGTAAGTCACTATTTCGCTTCTATCCGTGTCGAGAACAAACTTTTGAGTGAAGTTCGAATGTTGTTATACTCCTGTCAAACTCAGCGCTCTCTGAGGGGAAGCCGGTGGGTTTTATAAACATTGGGTAATCCGTGCGAGTTCCTATTGGCCAACAGGCGCGACTGCGTCACTGACTCAGATTCCTATTGGTGGAGAGATGTTTGCGTCAGGCCACCTGTGTCTAGTAAGAGGATGAGATCTCTTATTCACATTAAAGTGATGTCTTGGGGCAGATCAAACCACCTAAGGGGATTGAGTAGACCTTTGTGTGATGATGCTCTTATAATTAAAAATAAATGCAGTGTTTTTGGTTTTATTTAAGTGGTACAGGTTTATGCAAACAAAAGGTTGCACATCTGGCAACTTGTCAGTTCAGATCAGTGTCAATTCATGTCAGCGTGGTTGCAAAATCAAAGTTCAGTGACCTCAGTTTAACATCAAAAGACCATTCACTTCACATCTGAAGGATGTCCGTCATTACATCACTACTGTGGCAAGCAACACTGTGTACCTTTTAACTTGTCAGTAGGCCAAGACAACATCGATAATGAAGACAACTGCAAGCACAGCTCCAATTTGATATTTTTAATATTTTATTATGATCATTTGTACAAAACTTCACAAAAACATATGTACAATTCATCCCAAAAAAATACAAAGGAAAAGAGACTACTGGGTTCAGAAATGGGATCTGGTTTTCAACCATTCTGCTGTATTGAAAATTGTTTAACAAAGGGCCTCTTGCCTCATTTCAAATGCAAATGAAGCGAGACAGGAACTGCTTTCAAAAGAGCTCAAACTCGAGAAAATTTACACAGAATGAGTGGATTATGAATGAGCAGCTAGTTTATTTAACAGAATACGTAGGCAGAATTACAGTAAATATGCAAAAACTTTTAAAAGTTTTCTTTTTAACTCCACAATCAATATTAAAATAAGATGTAAAAATGTACAAGCGTTAAACTAAGTACTATTCTTTGTTAAATGCAAATGCTGAGAGTTTAGCAGAAGAATCCAGTGGCTTTTTCTTTTTGGCACTGGCCTCATCAGACTCCATTTGTTCAGCTGCTTTTTCTTCATCTTCATCTTCACGTTTTCGTTTCTTGGGGTCAGAGTCACCCTTTGCTTTCTCCGTCCAGTTCTGAATGAAAGATACAAATGACAAGTGCTCCATAAAGGGATAGTTCACCCAAAACTGAACATTCTGTCACCGTTTACATCTCAAAAATCTGCTGTAGTTGTTTTCTGTTGAACGCAAATAAAGTTATTTTGAAGAATGCTGGAAAAGTTAAGCAATGACTTCTACTGAACTTTAGTGCTTAATTTGTAAATGAATACCTTGCAGAAAAAAAAACAGCAAATGAAAGTTACTGTGATCGACGTCCACCACACCATTTCAGTTTTCCCGCAACATGACATCATCTATTTTATTCAGGATCTTTAATAGTTTTGTGCTGTATAATGTTATGGGTCACTCATGGATAAGAACAAATAAACAGCTACAAACCTAAATCTTATGAAACCTCACTATTCAGTTTACCAACACCACTGCTATTCAGTTCACTTCCAAGTGAAAAAATAAAAATAAAAGACTCGCTGTGTCTAATCTTCATGAAGAGTCCACAGTTACCTCTTCTGTCATGTGTTCTGGCTGACCGGTCTCTCACTATCCTGATCCAGGGACACAGTTCCACCTTCTCGAGATCTCGTTTGATCAGGCTCATTATCAGATTTAAAAATTAAATATGCTTGACTGCCTGTCACTGTATAACTTGTTTTTGCTACTATGGATGTCAATGGTTTTCTAACATTTTTCAAAAGATCTTAAAGATATGGTAAATGAGTACATTTTTTGAGTGAACTATCTTTTTAAATAAATTTAGGCAAAATTAAACCAACTAATTTTACCCAAAAATGAAAATGTAAATGATATAAAAAATATTTTAGCTTAAACTGTCCTCCTTGATGATTTATAAAACACAAGCATCTTTCAAACGATCAATCCGTACATTCAAGGCATTGGACAACTCTTCTCTGGTCTACAAATGATAACTTATTAGGCCATATTGGTATTCTGAGGAAGATTTATACCAGTCTACTTGAAAGTATTATCTCCTATAATATTTCTTGCTGGTAAGGAAATCTTGGAGCTAGAAGCAAGTAAGATCATATTGGACCCCCAGAAGCAGCTTGTGGAACTGTGTATACAGAAGTCAGAATTATTAGCCCCCTCTTTGATTTTTTCTTTTTTAAATATATTCCAAATTATGTTTAACAGAGCAAGGAAATTTTCAATGCAAGTCTGATAATATTTTTTCTTCTGCAGAAAGTTTTATTTTTTAAATTTTGGCTAGAATAAAAGCAGTTTTAAATAAAACATTTTAAGGTAAAAAAAAAAAAAATTAGCCCCTTTAATCAATATTTTTTTTCTTTAGTCTACTGAACAAACCATCGTTATACAATAAATTGCATAATTACCCTAACCTGCCTAGTTAACCTAATTAACCTAGTTAAGCCTTTAAACGTCACTTTAAGTAGGCGATGCAGTGGCGCAGTAGGTAATGCTGTCGCCTCACAGCAAGAAGGTCGCTGGGTTGCTGGTTCAAGCCTCGGCTCAGTTGGCTTTTCAGTGTGAAGTTTGCACGTTCTCCATGCATTCGCGTGGGTTTCCTCCGGTTTCCCCCAAAGTCCAAAAACATGCAGTACAGATGAATTGGGTAGGCTAAATTGTCCGTAGTGTATGAGTGTTTGTGTAGATGTTTCCCAGAGATAGGTTGCGGCTGAAAGGGCATCTGCTGCGTAAAAACGTGCTGGATAAGTTGGCGGTTCATTCCGCTGTGGCGACCCCAGATTAATAAAGGGACTAAGCCGACAAGAAAATGAATGAATGAATGTCACTATAAGCTGTATAGAAGTGTCTTGAAAAATATCTAGTCAAATATAATTTACTGTCATCATGGCAAAGATAAAATAAATCAATTAGAAATGAGTTATTAAAACTATAATGCGTAGAAATGTGTTGAAAATATCTTCTCTTTTAAAAATTAAATGGGAAATAACATAAACAGGGGGCCTAATAATTCAGGGGGTTTAATAATTCTGACTTCAAATGTAAACCAGACCAGATGGTAAGCCTCACAGATAGTTACAGACTCCACTCATCCTCTTTATTATGAATTTAAAAAGCTTCCTTCTGGTAGACGATACAGAGTACCCCACAGCAAAAACACTTTTTTTAAGGAATCGTTTATATCATCTGCTATTACTATACAGAACAAATGACCATGACGTAGTTTGTATGTTATTCTGTGACACTGTAAATTTGTCTGTGGTTACATAGCCAGTGTTGTGTGTTGGTAATCTTTGTGTTTGTGATGTTTGGGGATGTTTTTAGTAGCTTTTTGTGAGGCCAAAAACAATTTTTTTTCACACGTGTGGACAAATTAAAGACTGCTAATTCTAATATGTATAAATTAACATATCTATATATCTATATATATATATATATATACACACACACACACACACACACACTTATAGCCAGTAGGCCTATTCTACCCCTGGACATCAAGACATTTCCATCTTCAGATGCTTTAAACCAAATCAAAGACTAAATTTAACTCTCTCGCTTTTGATTGATGCTTGGCTGCTATTTTAATTCTTACATTTTATTATTTTCTATTACTATTTTTAATTGTAAGTTATCTTTTTTGTTGAAAAGCACTTTGGATCAACTATTTTTGTAAATATTTGTGCTCTATAAATAAACTTTGCCGTACCTTATCAAAATAGGTGACTGCATTCATGACTTTAACAGCTAAGATTATGTTCAACAGTACAAACCCAGTTTCCTTTCTCTCTACTATAAGAAAAAGAAGTGTCATGTATTCATCTTAAGTGTCAGTTGTCTGTGGATCAATGTCAATATTGTTGAACTTTACTTGCACAGACCTGTGATATTGTTTCATAAGACTTCAATATATCAACAGGGCCCACATGTATTCATTTTGCTTTGCATGTAAAAGTTTATTTGACTGTTAAAGTGCTTATAACTATTGACTTGCATTACACAAATTGCCAAGAACCAATAAAAATCCTCTTTAAATAATTTCCTAAAGAAAAAGATTCATCTAAAACCTAAATAAGTTAGATAATCACTATTAATTATTGTTATACTTTACTTTTAAATAACTCTCTGTGATTTCAATTCAAATTGACTATCCATTTAAGACAAACATATGTGTTCACGTTACAGATGACCCTTGTGAGTCACCAGACCTGTTTCAGATATTAGCATTGGGGCCCTTTCTACACCCCCCCCTTCTGATGCACACTATTCATCATTGTAACGCACTCGTTCCGCAATGATGCCACCCCCCCCATGTCATTAACATAAGATCAATGAGCACTACACAAGCCCCCAGCCCGGGTCTCCAGAGCAACAGGCGTACGAACCATTTTTCCTCCAGGCTGGAGTGTGTGAAGAGTCATTCTACCCTGCACTGAGTGGGCCTGTGGGTGCGGGGTCACGAACAGATCGTTCATACCCACTAGAATCCACAGGTAAGTGGAGATCAGAAAACAGGACGGTACTTGCTTATAAACGGTGTTGGCATGGGTAAATTGGGTTGGAAATTTAGAAGCGTATAAAAAAATAGGAGGAAACTGAGGTGTAATAAAAAAAGAGCATGAATAAAATCTGTTGCATAATAATGGACGTGTGAGAAAAATGCAGAAACGGGGAAAATCCCAGGTAACTTTCCCGGACTTAAAGGGATAGTTCACCCAAAAAAAGAAAATTACATCATTATTTTGTCACCCTCCACTGGTTCCAAACCTGTATGAGTTTCTCTCTTGTGTTGAACACAAAATGAGATACTTTGAAGAATGTTGGAAACCGAAAGTCTTTTTTTTTTTATTATTATTGAAGTCAATGGTTACCAGTTTCAAATATACTTCAAAATATCTAAAAAATAAAAATAAAATAACTTGAAAAGCTTTAAAATCATGTAAAAAAAAGCTTTTGAGTTATGGGTGAGTTATGTTTGGTAAATTCTCAATTTTAGGTGAGCTATCCCTTTAATAATAGGTTGAAGAATTAGTAAACAGCCACATGCGTTTATATGAACGGTCTTACCAGTCTTTCCTCTGCCGACAAGGTGCGGAAACGCCCCATGCCTTCCTTGATAACATCCATTTCCTCAAAGTCAGGATTGTCTGCAAGAATGCTCTTCCTATTCTCCTCAAGCCACAGCTGAAAGCCGGTTTTGGGCCTGAAGGAAGTAAATAGTAATTTCACAAAAGACAGTGAACATACAAAACAAACAAACTTTTTGTTCCTTAATTAATGATCTGCTTTATGATTAGTGATGCACAACAAATAGTTGATCATACAGGCTTGAGACTGGTAAAGCTACATGTATGGCAAACATATTGTAAAGTAATGACGGTAATAATATACAATACGAGACATGTAGTTAATGTATTTACTAACATGATCAAACAATGAACAATACATTTAATACAGTATTTATTTATGTGGTAATGTTAGTTATGAAATGAAAGGAACAGTAGTGAAAACAGTTGTTCATTATTAGTTTGTGTTAGCAAATGGGGCCTTAACTAATGCATTATTTATAATAATTAAATGCTGTTCATGTTAGTAAATACATTAATTTCATGTACTTAAAGCTGTAAAGTGTTATCATACTGACATTAAATGAATCAAAATATATCTAACAAACACTTTTATTAATGAACATCTATGTCCATCCATCTGTGTCAAAGATGGGGCATTCCATTTTTAATCCACATCCAATACAATTTTACAAAAGGAAATGTTTTAGACAAAGAAAGCATTTTAAATCTGTCTTATGACTCGAATATTATTTGTGAAAATTTGATGTGAAATTATGGGTAAAAAATAACTTCCTATGTTCATTCATGAATCACATGCTGTGTTTACAGTAATTAATGGGAAAAAAATGAATGGGGAGATTCCAATGCATTAAAAAAAGCTAAAGCTGCAGTACTTTAGTTTGAAAATGATCAATGAAAAATCTATAGGGTACTTTGAAGAGGAAGATGCAATATGGCAGACACTACAATGCAGAAGAGCTGAGAGCCACTATCAGAGCAACCTAGGCTCTCATAACACCTCAGCAGTGCCACAGACTGATCGACTCTATACCACGCCACATTGCTGCAGTAATTCAGGCAAAAGGAGCCTTAACTAAGTATTGAGTGCTTTGCATGCTCATACTTTTCGACTGGCCAAAATATCTAAAAATCCTTTTTTTATATTGGTCTTGTATTGATATTTTAATTTTCTGAGATACTGAATTTGGTCCGAGTAATGCAGAAACTGCTGATCTACTGGGATTTTCACGCACAACCATCTCTAGGGTTTACAGAGAATGGTCTGGAAAAGAGAAAACAAAGTGAGCGGCAGTTCTGTGGGTGCAAATGCCTTGTTGATGCCAGAGGTCAGAGGAGAATGGCCAGACTGGTTTGAGCTGATAGAAAGGCAACACTAACTCAAATAACCACTCGTTACAACCGAGGTATGCAGAAGAGCATATTTGAACGCACAACACGTCCAACCTTGAGGCGGATGGGCTACAGCAGCAGAAGACCACACTGGTTGCCACTCCTGTCAGCTAAGATCAGTAAACTGTGGCTACAATTCACACAGGCTCACCAAGATTGGACAGGAGAAGGTTGGAAAACAATGCCTGGTCTGACGAGTCTCGATTTCTGCTACGGTGACATTAAGATTGGAGGGTCAGAATTTGGCATCAACAACATGAAAGCATGGATCCATCCTGCCTTTTATCAACAGTTCAGGCTGGTGGTGTAATGGTGTGGGGGATATTGACACACTTTATGCCTATTAGTACCAATTGAGCATTGTGTCAACGCCACAGCCTGCCTGAGTATTGTTGCTGACCATGTCCATCCCTTTATGACCACAGTGTACCCATCTTCTAATGGCTACTTACAGCAAGATAACGTGCTATGTCATAAAGCGTGAATCATCTCAGACTGCTTTCTTGAACATGATAATGAGTTCATTGTACTCAAATAGCCTCGGAACGGGAGATTCGCATTATGGATGTGCAGCCGACAAATCTACAGCAACTGCGTGATGCTATTATGTCAATACGGGTCAAAGTCTCTGATGAATATTTCCAGTACCTTGTTAAATGTATGCCATGAAGGACTAAGGCAGTGTTGAAGGCAAAAAGGGGTCCAACCCAATACTAGTAAAGTGTACCTAATAAAGTGGCCGGTGAGTGTACATTGACCTTATTCTGCATTGCTGAAAAGCACTCGTTTTTGCGATTGTTATAGAACTACTGATTCAGTTGCCTATGGGTGAAATTACTAGGAATAAAGGCAGAAAACGGTTAAACTTCTTGCTGAACAAACAAGTGTGTTCATGACGTACAGAAAATGTACAATATAATAAGAAAATTTCAAGATATAAAAAAGTTAAAAACAAAAACAATCAATCTGTGCAAAAACAAAACAATTTAACAAAGAGTAATGTCCTACTTTTTGTTCTCAGTGTTCTCCTTTAACACTGGAGGAGTAGCAGCAACAGGAGCCGGTTTGACTTTCTCCGCTTCTGATTGGCTGTCCTCCAATTTCTTACTGTTTCCTTTAGAGGCACTCATCTGCAGCAGAGTGGCCTGCGTCTGAAAAACAAGCCCAGAAAACTAAGATTAATTCAAGATCTCAGATACAACATGTTTTTTGTGTCCTGCACACCAACTTAAGTACATAGTGTTGCTTATATTCCAATTTAAACCCCTTCGACTTTTCAGTGGAACAAACATTGTATTATAAGTACAAAGCATTCTAGAAACGATCTCCGATAAGCAGGTTGAGAGAGTTATTTGGGGTCAGACTGGAGCCGGTGAACACTCATGTTTGGGCTAAAAACTGTACCTTGGACTTGGGTTTGGGTGCCAAGGGCTTCAGAACTGGGGCTTTGCTCTGTTTTGATAATCCGCTGAAAGCTGCAGGTTTTCTAGACATCGTCATGCTGTCCAAAACATTAGTCGTTCTGGGCTGACCAGCTGGAGAACCTGAGGACTTGCCTGCACCGGATACCTGCAAGTATAAAATATTGTTTTTTAATATATAATGTTAATGAAAAAGTACATATCAAATTATCTTTACAAAACGTTAATCGTTACCTTAAAAGGGTTCACACGTCCTTCTCTGCTCACTGAGACAGACACGCACAATTATTACTTTCAGAAACACAATCATATCTCGAGGAGGAGAGAAACTGGTAAATCAATTTAAACTGAAATAATACTTTAAAATAAAGAAATCATAGATAAAAAACTGCAAGCTAATAACAAAAACTATTTAAGAAAATCATATTTCTATACTATTAAATGAAAAAAAATATATATATATTTTATTTTAGGATACTTTATTTTAGATAAATATTTTTCATTTTTATACATTTTTCAGTTTGTTAAAACGGTTCTCACCTGGTTTGGGAGATGGCTTTTCAGGTGACTTTCCTCCTTTTTTGAATGGATTTAAAACTGTAAAGACAACATTTACTCATATTTTAACATATGAAATTGAAATGGTTTACTCCTGTTAGTGATGTAACGGATGACAAATCTCACGGTTCTGGTGGGGGAGGGGGGATGGTTGTAATTTGCTTTCCAACAGTACTGCAAGAAACGTTTTGCTTTAACAAACAGAACTTAGAATCTGTAACTTTATTAAAATTAAAGGAAGAAATAATATGCTAAAAAAACATTGTAAAATATCTTGTACTGATAAAAATTTCCTGTTACTACTACTGTTGCTGATGACACTAAATCACCACCTATTGGTTAAATAATGTAATTGCTGCCCACAACTTTCATTTTTGAGGGTCATTAAAAGCATATGAAGTGATTCACCATAAACATCAATGGTTATATCTAAACTATAAACTTTTATCCCCGTTCTTCTGTTATTTGACTGCTCGTAACTTCATAAACATCTCAAAAGACTAAAGACTGAATCTCTTTCTTGATTTTTGCGTTTTCAGATTTGAATACAGTGATTCGAAGGACTAAAAAAAAAAAAAAAAAAAAAAAAAAAAAAAAAAAAAAAAGAGTATGCAAATCACCATAATTTTTAATTATGTTGCGTGGGTCTTGAGATCCTGATCTTTTAAAGATTAATCGTGCAACTTACACTGAATGCGTTGATGCTGGCTAAACAAGTAGTGACAGAAAACACCTTTAATAACCTAAAGAAACCTGCTACATCCCAAATAACCTACCACAACTTCTTCCATCATCGTTATATTTTACAGGAAAACCTAAAGGCTTTATTACATGTGATTTGAATGATGTGAGAGGCGATCTCTCTGCGATCGTTACAAATTTAGCATTAAACTACAGCTAAAAGAATGCAACAATCCACGGGTCATTTGTGTTCCAAACTGTGGGTAGTGATCCATACAAATCACGGATCAACCGTGATCCATTACAGCCCTAACTCCTGTATTTAGGATTTGCCCTAAAAACTGTAATAAGTAAGGAAAAAGTTAATAAAAATCAATGTAAACACAAAATGCATTAGCATCTGGTTTAAGCATACTACACTTTTCAGATTAAATAAGAAATAATAGCACATGTACATTTCTTCCTGGTCTCTGTTGATTCCTCTGCATCCATCTGTTCTTCTTGTGGATATTCTTCCTCCTCAACCTCCTCCTCCTCACAGCCATTTTCCTGTTGTGCTTGTCTGCTATTCATCTGATTGGATTCTCTATATTCTCTACTTATAAAAACACAGAAACAAATCACCTGTTGAGTCAGCATTACAGTCTGATCCTTTTTATTAATTATTTAAATCTGAAGTTTTTACAATATACTGAAAAAAAAGTTCTCTTTTTTTAGATTATAGATTTCAATTTATACACTTTCATAAACTCTACAAGAATCACTTAAAAATACTTTAGGACCCTTCTAGGGTTATAAATAAATAAATATTAATATAGAAAGTTCTTTATTTAACAAACATTAGGAAAGTTTTGGAAACAACAGGAAAATAGACGTTTATTGTTTTAAGGTGCAGCATGTATTTTTGACACCCAGTGGTTGAACTAGGTATTGCATTACTGGATCAAAACAAACGCAAAGATTGCCAGATTAATAACCAACAGCAGTGAGCCTAACTCTCGGGGGAAAAAAGGCTGATTTCAATAGTTTTCGAAATAAAAGCAATGACACACGATAGAAGAAATATTCTCCATATTAAAATAAGTTTTTGTTCTAACAAACACCTTGAACTGAAATATTAGAAACGGTTTATATTTCTTGCAGCTGAACAAAAGAAAACTGACAATGCTTACCTTTGGTAAACCTCATGTGCTTTATTCAGTGAAAAATGCTAATAATGTGAGTTTGAATGATATTTTACATAACATTTATTGCCATACTAATGGCAACCCTAAAATATAACCCTGAAATTTAATTGGCCAAACTGGCATTGGATGGGTTAAAAGAACCATAACAAGATGTTCCAGCATGTAACGTGCATTTTCAAAGCAGAATATCTGACTTCAGCATTGTTTTTCGGATAAACAACGTTCACTTAGCATGTTTCTAAAATATCTGCAAACATATTATGGTATTTTTATGCATTAGAAGAGTCAAAAAAAAAAAAAATAAATCAGTGTTTCAAACCCTCAAGTTTTTCTAGCATTTAACACAAAAGAAGATATTTTGATCAAAGCTGGAAATCTGTAGTCATTGACTTGTATACTATTCGTTTTTCGTTTTCAGCATTCTTCAAATATCTTGTGTTGTGTTTAACAAAAGAGAAAATAAATCTCAAATTTTTTTTTCCACTTGAGAGTGGGTGAATTTAGATTTTAAGGTGAACTATCCCTTTAAGCTTTTCCTGCTTAAAAATAGCAGGAAATATCAATTCATAGAAACTGCATCTATTTATTAGACATCAAGTTTCCAGCAACGTCACAAAGAATAATAATGGAAATAGAAAAACTAATAACATTACCCAGATTTTTAGTGCTCACCTCTGATAGGCTGGCTCCTCATCTTCCTGCTCCTCCTCTTGCAGCTGATTGGCTTTTTCCAGGGCGAGTTCACTGAGTCTCTGTGCCAGGGCCATGCGTCTGGATCGAGATGCGTAACGGATGGCGAGCGTCACAACACTGTGAGTCATCAGCTCTGCCAGCTCCACACAGCGAAACTCACGCTCCAGTTTACATGACAGCTGCCCGACGCACACACAAAAACATTTATATATTAAAAAAATAGGAATAATCAAATGTGCAAGCTACACTTCAAGATATTGCACAAATGCATCTTAAAAGACGTATTGTGTTCCAGAAATCAGACAGTGAAATTCAATCCAGGGGTGTCTGATTAAATTTAGTCAGGCTTTGACTTCCTGTTCTGGTCACATGAACGACTTACAGCGAACATCTTCATTAGCAGTTCCTGCTGTTCTTTCTCAGCCTGAGCTTGACTCTCGCTGTCAATTTCATAACCACTAGATGAGAGAAAGCCATAGTGGTTATGAAAGAGCATGGACCGCCAGTACTGCTCCTACAGAACATAAGCAGAGATGTTAATGTCAGTTCCTGCACATTTAAAAAAAAATTTAAAATCTACATTAATTATTGGTATACAATGATAAAACAGACAAGCTCTGCACTGCCAAGAGTAGGGTTGGGTATCTTTTGAGATGATTTAGATTCCGGTGCTAAACCAACACTTTTAAAACAGTACCAGTGCTAAAACAGTGCCTAAACCGATTCCCTTGAGCCACAACATTATGGTGGATGACTCTAGAAAAATCTTTTATTTGACAAAAAAACTATATTTTAATCATTTTAATTGAAGAATATTACTGAGGAGGTTTAACATCAATTCATATTGTATATATTTAAATTGAATTGCATTATTATATATTTATTTTGATCATTTGTGTTTAACATGAATTTAAGATTTGCATTATTTAATAAACATTAGATTTAGCTTACTATTGACCTGTGTCATCAAAATCGTGAACTCTTTTTTTTTTTTTTTTTTTTTACTAGGGTTGTGGCTTGTGACTATGTTTACATGGACATCAGTAATCTAAGGATTTGCCTTAATGTGAATAAGACAATAATATGAATAAGGACTTTACATGAGTTACTTTCTGAATGATCCTTTCATGATCTCTTTGGCCATATTGATATCGGCCGATGTGTGCTATTTTTAATGGAAATTTAAAGTAATTTAAAATAAATCGTTGTTGGTCCAATATTAAAATTAGGTCGATATCTTTAAGTCAATAGATTATGTAATTGTTCTGCCTGCCTCACGCATGCGTGGGACTAACTTGTTCAGACTTGTCCGGTGCACTATAAGCTTTTCTCACATTGTTTATTCCTTCAAAGTCTATTCCCACAAAGTTTGTGTGGTATTGCTGTTCGTTAATAACTCAGTAAGTAACCATATTCCTTATCATTGTAGATATAATTGATAGAGAGTCATTGTGTATCTTGGCTTAAATTGCTTCAGGAAAAATATTACATGTGCATAAATGAAATATCGAAAACGAGAGAATCGTGGGAGAGTGAGGTAATAAATGACTCAGTGACTAACAATTGTACTTAACTTTAACACGTTTATTAGAGAACATTTGAGCTGGTTTTTGTTATTTAACCGATTTTTTTTATGCAACAGTGAAGATGCATGTTAATTTGCTATGAAGAAAAAAAAATATTTAT